ATACAAACTTGTGGTTGCCAAGAGGGTGGTGGGTGGGAAGGGACAGACTGGGATTTCAAAATTTGTAGATACTGACAGGCATATGCAGAACAGATAAACAAGGTTATACTGTATAGCACAGGGAAATATATACAAGATCTTGTGGTGGCTCACAGTGAAAAAAAATGTGACAGTGAATATACGTATGTTCATGTATAACTGAAAAATTGTGCTCTACACTGGAATTTGACACAACATTGTAAAATGACTATAACTCAAAAAAATGTTAAAAAAACAATCTCCCTACTTCACACTCACACATACACACAGAGGAGGCTGCAAATGCCCTGGGACTGCAGGGCACAGGACTCCAGGGCAGGGGCACGTCAGTCTGGGAGAACACAAATGAAATCTCATTGCTATGGAAACCACTAGACATCTCAGAGCAACTGGGTGTGAACCAGATAGGTTTCTGCAGCCGGTGCGGTGAGTGAAGTGGTGAGAAAAGAAGCAGCACTGGGCCAGGCCTCTTCAGGCTGCAGAACAGCCTCCCCCAGAGAAAGACAGTTGACGTGGGCCCACTGAGCAGCAGGCATTCACCATGGGTCTCATGCAGGGGGAGGGGGATGCAGAGGAGGGAGCCCCAGTGGCCCTATGAGCTCACCTTCTACCCAGGGCTCTGGATACAGGCCTCTTATAAAGTGCTCCTTCCCGAACATTCCTCCTGGACCTGATGGCTCTGTTCTCACCTTCAGACCCCAGCGTCATAGCTCATTTCAGTCCTCCACTTGACCCCATGGACTTAATGTTTAGATTCTTCCTGGCTCTCCACATACCTTCATACAGGATTCCAGCTTTAGCTCTGTCCTTGTGCTGAATCCAAGGGTCCATCCTGTGCACTCCCTTCCTCTACTGGCTCCAGAAATCAGAGCCTGGGGTGAAGGCATATTTCTCTCTCTCTGAAGCCAAAGTTCAACAGTTATCCTTGTTGGCCCTGGGGAGGTCCCCATTTTTCTCAAGTTCTAGCCCATGCTTGACATGACAACTCTGGCTTGTGAGGTCTTTCTGTGGCCTGGCCTCATCCTTCCCTTTTTCCTGGGCTGTGGTTGGTTACTTCTCCAACGATTAAAAATTCTTCTTACTCAAATGAAGGGGGCGAGCAGGGGCTATTTCAGTGTTGGGCTCCTCAGTCCCGGGATCCTGTGCCCACTATTAAGGGCGAACCATCCTGCCCCTGAGACTCACAGCGCCCGTTAGTGGTGCAACTACAGCTGAGGGTTCAGCTAGTAATGGAAACCTTTTTTGTGTGTGTTTGTAGGCACTGTTTTGTGTATTTTATATATATTAGTGATCTAATATCTACATCAATCCATTGAGAGAGGCGTTATTATCAACATTATTTTCTAGATAAGAAAGTAGGGACAAAGCAATTAAGTAACCCCCCCTCCACCACCAAGTTCACATGGCTGGTTAGGAGCAGAGCCAGGCTCTGAGCCCAGGAGCCTGGTTCCCAGGTGGGTGATTTAACCTTTATACTATACAGCCTGTCAAGACAAAAGACAGCACCCACCCGCTCCTTTAAAGCCCTTAAATACACCTCCTCCTCCTGCAGAAATTCCTTTTCCAGGCTCCATTTCTCTGGGCTGCTAGGTCTCCCTATAAAGAGAGAAGCAAGGCTAATAGCTCAGCTGCCACCCCAGGCATTAAGCCAGGACCCAGAAACACCAAGGGATCCCCACAGAGCTCCGAAGCCTGAAGGGATGTCCACCGTCCACTCAAGGGTCCCTGTATTCACAGGAGGGGCAGGTTTTAGACTCAGCGTGTTTCTCTCCCAAGACTCGCCCTGCAGGTTCAGCTCCAAGTGGGAGGAATGTAAAGGGTCTCAGGAGATGTTCCCACTGCCCCCCATGTGGGGAAGCATGCGGTCCCTGGCATCTGGGGATGGAAGCCCATGGCAATCTCGTGACCATTGTCCACACTCTTGGATTTCCGTTCACTTTTCCTGCCTGTGTGGCCCAGAGCCCTGCAAAGCTTCATTCTGCCTAATAGCCTCCCGGGAAAACACAGCCAACATCTATGAATTTCGAACCCAAGTGGGTATGGAGTCATATTCAAAAAAGCAGAGTCCACATGCTAAGAGAATTTTTTAAAGAAAGCCTAATCTTTAATTTGTGTCTCTATTGTATTAGAAAGGATTTAATTTATAATTCCCATCAAGATTATGTGGGACAGAGCCTGCAAGACTGCCAAAAGAACAGTCTCTGGAATTTATAAACAAACCCTTCACGAGAATCGTCTGTTCCTTTTTTAATACTGTCTGTAAAGCTAACTGCCCTGTCCCCTAGTAGCTGCTGACGGCAAAATCAGATTTGCTAGAGAGTTTTGCCCCAAGCCAGAGGAAAATCCAGTGTTCTTCATGGGAAAAACAGAGCAGGGACATGGCATTCGAGTAAATGTTTATTACTGCTGAGGTCTTAAAATATAAAAGAGTTCCACTGTGAGTCATCAGAGCTTTTCTGATTTAGTGGTTCCCAAATTGGAGTTCACAAAGGTAACACACAGAGCTATTGAGTCAAATCTAAGACACCATTAAGGTAAAATACAGTGTTATTTTATGTACCACTGAGAAAGAAAAAAAATTCTATCAGTTAAACTAAATGTCCTATTTATTATAAGAGGCATTGGTTTTAGAGATGTTAAAAGATGAAAAAGAATGAAAAGAATGTCTTGGAATCAGTGAAATCTGGCTGTATCCATTTTGTTAGGGTGACATGGCTTGCTCCTCATGGAGTACTTAGAGAGTGTCTGACACACTGCAGGAGCTCAATAGATGTTAGCAGTTAGAACTTTAGTTGGTGAAATATCTTGACTATCTTATATTTAGAATTTAATCTAGTAGAGGCAGCAGACTGTATTCAGGGAGAATAATCCATTTTCTCGGGGCAGAATGGAGAAGTACAGTTGCAGTTGACAAATTGGGTGGTCATGAGGAGACTGCCTGAGGGTAGACCAGAAAGATGGGCTGCACAGGGCTGAGGGGAGCGCACACTGTCCGTGACTAGGGGGGACCTGTAAGTCTGGCACCGTCTAGAGCCAAGCCAGAGAATGGGAGCCCTGCCTATTGAAAGCAAAGTCACAGCAGGATGAATAAGAAGGTTTAAGAAACCTGTATTATGACCTTTAAAATGAGTCTGTGAACATGCCTCAAAACAAAAGACAGCATTGATGTAGATATTAAATTACTAATATATGATAACATGCCTGCTGGGAATGGGTTCCTCCTCATCTGAGATGGAGTAGTTGCGTTCTTAAGGGCGCTGGGAATGATGGAGTGATTACACCCCTGGAGAAGGGAGATTAAAGCTGCCCCATGAGCCTCTCCAGCACACTAAATTCTTCATGGAACCAGTGTACCCTGGTACCCTTTGAACCTTTCTCCAGTGTCTCCTCTGATTTCACATATTTTGTCAGCAAAGACTTGCTGTTCAGAGTAAGGAATTGGAACCTCAAGGCTTTCGTGAAGAATGGATGCCATCAGTCAGAGCAAGGGGGACGTAAGCAGGTGACAGCGTGTTAGACCACTCCACTTTCCATTCCGCAGAAACCCACATTAGAGGAAGAGCTGAGGCAGCTGCCAACAGCAGTCATATCCGTGTTGAGGAGACTTGTCGTGGAAGCAGCTTCCTGCCCACATCCTTAAAGCTTTTGGTTGGCCCATCAAGTGGAACCTATTTCTGGTCAACTAACCCTGGTTCTGCATATGGCAGCAAACCTGTTCGGGGTGGGGATGCAGGGTCAGGGGATCAGTTCAGCTTCAGGGCAGCTCCATGTTGGGCTCGGGCTCTCATGACAAGAGCCAGGGATGTTTGAGAAAAGGGCTGTGGCTTCTGTTTCTATTCAGCCTTTGGCCAGGAAGTTTCCCAGCAGCTAAAGCTCAGCAAGGGGACAGCCTATACTTCCTGTTCACAGGCAATCACGGCTCAGGCAGATTTGCCCACCACCTGCTAACTTAGAGCACAGCGTTGTAGACACAGTCCTCTCCCCTGTGGAGAGGCATAGAAAAACTGAAAGGAGGATCAGCTACTGGGAAATCACGGCTTTTATATAGAGCCTGTGGTTTCCATAGTTGACTTGGGTTAAATCTATTGTAGAATATAGCGAGTAAACAAATTACTCAAGCAAATCATTTCGAGACAGAGTAACATGATTCAAACCAATCTTGGGAAATATCAGAGTGTTTACTTCCTCTTTTGCACAAATAATTTTTTTTCACATCTTGAACTTGGGATTCACGATTTTCAAGCCTAGGATCACCTTTGAATATAAAGGCTGTAAAAAAAGTAATTTCCCACCTCTTGAGGCTTCTAGCTAATCCTCCAATTAGTAGATGCTTTCTAGAAGATATTCAGTGAACATCAGAGAGAGGCTTGATCAAAAATATGTTTCAAAAACAGAACAAAATAAACAAAACAAAAATATTGTTCCAGCCAAGGCCAAGCATGGTTGTTCATTGCCTTTTCAGCCAGACAAGAGGGCAGGCATGGTCATGCATATGTACATAGATTGTACTCTGATTTTGTTGATTTCTCTGAGGCAGTTTTAACAAAAGACATAAATCTACTATAGTGATTTAGTAATTTTTAAAAAAATAAGACCACTGGTTGGCCAAAATTTATTTCTTTAAGTAAAAGACAGGGTATCATCATCATATTTTGCCTAAGCAGCAGAAGATCCATCATTCTACCCCAAATTCTCTTTATGTTTTAGCTTTACCCTCTTTCTCTCCTTATTACCTTCTTTCTTGACATACTAGGTGTTCAGCGAGCATTATTGAACTCCTGCTCTCCACAGGAAGATCTCTAAGGTGGAGATCACATCCAGATTGGTTGGAAAAAGACTTACTGAGAAAGAGAGCCATGTGTGGCGTCTAGGAGGCAAAGGTCAGGACGTCTCCCTTTAGATCACTTGAAAAAATACCATAGAGTGGAAGCAGGCATTATCTTTAAGGATCAAAAGAATACTGTCTGTTGAATCCTTTTTAAATTCAAGCTTGTTGAGGTATAATTTACATACTACAAAATTCACCCGTTTAAGATCAAAATACCTTTAATGTATTTACAGAGTTGTGTAGCCATCACCACGATCTAACTTTAGAATACTTCCATCACCCCAAAAAGAAACCTTGTGCTCCTTTACAGCGACTCCCTATCCCCAACCTCTTTTCAACTTAATGTATAATGCTGCTGTGAATACTCATATACCCATTTTTGTGTAGACATGTTGTTATTTCTCCTAGGTAGATACCTAGGAGTGAAATTGCTGGAGTGTGTTGGTTTCCTCTTGCTTCTGTAACAGATTATCACAAACCCAGTGGCTTAAAACATCGCAACGTTATCTTACAGTTCTGGAAGTCAGAAGTCAAAATGGGTCTCATGGGCTAAAATCACAGTGTCAGGAGAGAGCTCAGGTCCTTCTGGGAGCTCTAGAGGAGAACACACTCCTTGCCTTTCCCAGCTACCCACTTTCTTTAGCTCGGAGATGTGTCACACAGACTTCTGCATCCATTGTCACATCTCCTGCTCTGACTCTCCGCTCCTGCCTCCACGTTTCCCTTATAAGGATTCTTGTGAATCCACTGGGTTTACCCAGATAATCCAGGATAATCTCATCTCAAACTCTTTAATGTAATCACACCTGCAAAGTCTCCTTTGTCTTGTAAGGTCATGGATTCACAGACTCTGGGGATCAGGACCTAGACTCCTTTGAGGGACATGATCCCGCCTACTGTATTGTGTTATATGGTCAGTCTACGGTACAAACATTTTTGAGAAACTGACAAACCATATTCCAAAATGGCTGCACCATTTTACATTCCTTCCAGCAATATAGGAGCGTCCCAGTTTCTCTACATCCTCACCAACATTTGTTATTTTCTATGTTTTAAAAAAAATATTATTATAGCTATCCTAGTGGGAATAAAGTGTTCTCTCATTGTGGGTTTTTTTTTAAACCTTTTGTTTGTGCGAGTAATTAGGTTTGTTTATTAATTTTTAGAGGAGGTAGTGGGGATTGAACCCAGGACCTTGTGCATACACGCCCTCTACCACTTGAGCTATACCCTCCACTCTTACGTGATTTTGATTTGCATTTCCCTGATGGCTAAAGAAACTGAGGATCTTTCCATGCACTTGGGATCATTTGTACCTATTTGGCTTGTTTCTGTCGGGGGTTGGGGGAACTTGGGAGATAAAATACATCTCTAACCTTTCTCACCATGCTCCCTCTCACCCTCCTCACCCCTCTCCTCTAGCCCCTGGCATAATTCAGTGATGTCTGTAAGCCAGGCATGGGGCAGAGCCCGTTGAACCCTGGGTTCAGAGGGGCAAGACTGCCACCCTCAGTATTACGCCCTGTGTCTCATAACTGGGCCCGCTCCTGCCCAGCCAAGCCCTCTCCCAGGTTCCCAGTCTGGAAAAGGTGAGAACTTGACTACAGTTTGATGATAGTTCTCTGAAAGTGATCCTCTGGGGTGGAGTGGTGAGACAGCCTGAAAACTCCCCTCACCTCTCGGAGCCTCTACAAGTTACAAGCCCGGAGGCTTCTCTGTCCAGCAGAGACGAATCCCATACCTATAAAAACACAAGTCCCTTCACAAGGGAAGGCCCAGCAGAAGCCCTCACCCACATGGCACGTGAAAAAGGCCCTGCTCAGAATGTCCTGCCTGTCCCCTCACAAACCTTATTGCAGCCTTTCCACCTTTTGGGGTGGAGGCCAGAAACCCTCAGAATATTCAGGCAGTTCTGGCCCCGGTGTGACTTCTGCCACCTCTTAGGATGCTTGAGATGTCATTTCTAATCACGCCTCTCAGGCTTCAAGCACAAGAGAGGCAAACTCCACCACCGTCACCTGTCTCCTGCCTCCTTTCTCACCTCCATCCTCCTCCTACTCTGTGCCCCTTGTCCCTACCTCTATTTGGGTTGGACCTCCGTCTCCCTAAGGCTTTTTAGGAAGCCCTGAGGATCTCAGGTTCAGCAGGAAGGATGCCATCCCAGCCTGAGGTTGGCTAGGCTCTCCAGTTCTGGGAGGGGACCGACAGAACCATAAGGGGCCATCTGGCACAGGCCCACTTCCTCATTGTCACCAACTGTCCCCACATGTGACAGTTGCCATTTGGCAGCTGCCAGTATCAAACGGTGAGGAAAAGAAGCCCTTGGTTGACACCAAAACCAACGCACCTCATTCCCACGTCACAGCTGAGTCCGGGTCAGCCTGATGGCAAAGCCCACCATATCTCGTATCCCTATTTCCATCTCTCCTTTTCCATTATTGTTGGATGACACTGACCCGTAAGATTTTTGCTTTAGGGAGTGTATGACCATTTTCCTTCTGGCCAAATAAGAGGTGTTAGTTACTAATATTCCACAGGCAAGGGATTCCAATGAAACAAGGCGAATGGCACACATACTTCTCTCTCTTCATTAAAAACTCACTAAAATGACAGTAAAAGGTGAGTTCTTCAAAAAGCATAAACCAGCAAAGACCAAGAGGATTGCAGAGGAAATAACGGTACATTCAGAGGCAGCACTTTCTCTCTTTTTCTCATGGAAAAGCAGATAGAAAACATAGGAGACAGGAGAAAGGTGGGGAGGCTGCCGGAGAAGCCAAGTGAAACAAAATGACTTCCGCCCAAGAAAGGCTTCGGGCTGGAGACACTAGTACCTCTCACGGAAATATAGGAACCCTGAGGACAATTAAACAACAGCAGACAAAACTGCCATCAGTATCATTTTTTAAAAAAGAAAAAAATAAAGTTCGTCTCCCTCATTTTGAGAGGAAAAAAAAAGCATTGCTCAATCAACCTCTGTCATCTTCAAGATACATCCCCATTTTTCCTCTCTTCTCTGGTCAAACTGATCCCAAGTGTCGTCTGATCCCCTGTCCCCATGCTCTCACCCCCTCCCATTCCTGAAGGAGCTGTAGTCTGCCCTTCTCTCCCATCACTTCCTTAGAGCTCCTCTTGCTAATCCGCTGGGCACTTTGGGTCCATGTAAGACTAGAGCTCTCCAGCCTGTGACATTGTTCACTTTTCTTTCTTTCCTGAGACCCTTTTCTGCCCTTGGTTCCTGAATCTCCACACTCTTCTGGGGTCTGGCTTCTCCTTCATGACCCTCTGAACAAGCTCTTCCTTTTCCTCTCCCTTAAATGTTGGTTTCCCAGAGATTCAGCATTGTTCTCGTCTCACTCTGCCCACTGTACCAGCTATTACCCACCGGGAACCCCACAGGGTGTCCTCATTGATGAATTAAACTCAGCTGAACTGATCATCTTCCTGAACATCTTCCCTCCCCGAGAAAGGCATCCCCACAAAAACCATCAACCTGGGATTCCTATTACACTTTTCCCTCTCCCTCACTGTTCTGGTGGTCCACCACTGCATAACAAATTAAACTCAAAGCATAATGGCTGAAAACAGCAATTTATCTGACTCATGATTTTGTGGGTCAAGAATTCATGAAGGCCTTGGCTAGGCAGTTCATCTCTGATCTATGTGGTATCAGCTGGGACATCTGGGTAGGGGACCTACTTCCAAGACGTCTTCTTCAGTCACAGTGCGTGTGACACCCCAGTCCTCCTTCATCTCTTTCTCTTCACTTGCCACCTCATCCTCAGGGCCTCTCCAAGGCCTTGGGCTTCTCAAAGCTTGTTCTCTGGATAGTCGCATTTCTTACCTGGAGGTTCTTAGAGACAGGGAGTGGGAGATGCCAGACTAGTTGGGCACTACACTTAGAACTGATGCAGTGTTCCATATTCTTCCATATTCTCTTGGTCACAGAGAGTAGCCTCAGGGCTCACCCAGAGTTAAGAGGGCGCAGATATGCTCCATCTCTTGATATGGATGGAAGATATTGATGTAGCCATCTCTGAAAATACCCTTTGCCATGTTCACCCACACAATAGCCATTCTACCTCCTAGATATCTCTCAAATGCATTTAACGCTCACCTACTCCATAGCCACCAGGCCACCATCTTTTCTCACCTGGACTCTTGACTTAGCTTCCTAACTGGCTTCTATGATACTTGTAGATCTCCTTCATTCTTGGAGTGACCAATAGAACGATCCTTTTATATGGCAAAAATAATTATGCTTCTCCCTATACTTAAACCTTTTATGTAGCTCCTATTGCCTTTAGGAAAAATCTAATACAACTTACAAGTTCTTTCATGACCCTACCTCTACTTGTTTTTCCACCCTCAACTCAGAGAGCATAATGCATTCATGTAGAGCTCTACATATTTGGAAGCATTTAAAAATAGGTTTTTAACCCTCCATAAAATTACTTCTATACTAATGTTAATGGTTCATCTGTGTCTTTGGGGTAATTCAATGTTTATTGTGAATTTCTGCTATCACTTGAAAAATGCTTAGAGGTGAAGGTAGTATTTCTAAAGGTACATGACTGTGACATCTTTCTATCCTCATACTTTAAATCTTTTTGGGATGTAAGCTGTGATTGTGTTATTCATAGAGATTTTTAAATTTCAACACATCCAACACTCCTGGGCTATGTTCATGGCTTCTGATGTTATAAAGGTAGCTATTTTTGAATGGCTTGTTTTATGCAAATAAAATTTATGTATGAGACATTAAACACAAATAAATGGCAGACCTTTAAAATTAATGTGTGTGAGGTGAACATGATAACCATTACACTACGGAAACCCGATTAAAATTAATGTGAAAATCTTTGTCTTTTAATAGGATGATTTTACCCATTTACATTTATTTTCATGACTGATAAATTTGGTTCCTCATCTCAAATTTCATGTTTTGCATTTCTCTCCCTTATGTTCCTTTTTCCCCCTTTGTTTTCTATCTTTGGATATTTAGCTTAGAGTTTTCTGACAGATCTTTGATAGTGTTTTGGAAAATAAATCAATGTTTCTAATTCTATTAGTATTTATATTTATTTATTTGCATGATGAAAAGGGTTTTAAAATTTAACCTAGTCCGCCTTTTCCCCCCTGACTGTCC